TGGTTGGTCTCGTACACTGTTACTCAAAATCATGCGTGGATTTCCATAACGCAGTGAGGAAACTTACGAGCTCAGTTGAGGAAGCCAAACATATATTCCAACACTGCTCTCAACACAAGACGCTTATGATGATAATATCTTACTGTTGTCGAGCTTCTGTGAAGGTGCTCAACAGTGGGGCTCTCCCAGTAGATGATATACACCAGCTTATCATGGACCCCTATACAGCAAAAAAGTTGAAGTGAGAAACTTCCATCGTGATTATAATCAGTTATCGCAGCAGGGCGCAAGTACGGGCTCAGCTGGAGCTTGAGGAGACCAACAAGGAAGCACAACTCAACCGAGAAGCTGACAGTGAGAGCGACTCGATGGCTCACCACGGGAACGATCGCCCTGCCAGATAAGCCAAAACGGCGATCATCAATTACCGAGACTACTCTTCCACCACCTCTGAAGGCTCTCACTCACCCTAATCCTGGGTACCGGTGAGGCTCTCTTTCTTTGAATATATCATTGGCAGTGTGGGAAATCAACTTCGTTTGTTGGTGACAGTGTAGAAGTTCTGAGGGAATTTTGAAAATTTCTATGATTAGTGAGGAAACTCCTGAGTTCAGCTGAGTAAGCCAAAAGTCATAGCTGCAATAGGTATAAGCAGCGGAAGTTCGTACTGTTGTGCTGTTGTGGTGAACTACCGGGGATTGAGACCCTCCGTCAGTTCGCCAACTCTTGTCGAATGCAAGTGAGTGCGGTGCTCAGTGTGCCGATCAACACCATACAGCGACGTAGTTGATATTATGCACGTGGTCAACTACATGTGTTGGTGAAAATTACGAGGGAATTTTGGAAATCACTATTGGTCTCTATACACTTCTACCCGGGTTTGTATGTAAACTTCTATAATTAGTGAGGAAACTCCTGGACTCAGCTGGGGAAAGCGAACATATATTCCTCCTTGTTGCGATTATCTCAAGTCGAGGTACTCATTCTCTGTCCATTGCCATCCCCAAGCATCCCTCTACTAGGTCGGTGCCAACAGGTTTTCGTTTCACGGACCCGAACCACCTCATCAGGTGTCGGCTTGAATAGAACAGACAACAGTTCCGAGGGGAAGAACAAGAAGGTCCTTGTTGATCACAACCTTGCCTGTCGACTTTTATCAGGCTGACCAGAAAATTTGGTATCTGCGTGGAGATCCTCTCAAGGCCAGTCACCTAAGGCGCGCAGGATTCGTCCGAGCCAGAGCTATAATGGTTGCCATAGCTGTGACGATCCTCGGCGATGACCGGTTTTAGGTTATCGCCAGCTTGCAAAGCAACGAGGGGAGTAGCGAGACCTCAGCTGACGTTAGACAGGTGTGCCACCACCTGAACTCATACCCGTGTTGTCGCAGAGCCAGGTCTTTGCGGTGCGCCTTATAGAGCATCTTCTCAATGTGGACCTGGCCGAGCAGCACTACGGCGACCCACTAGCTTTTCTGGCCGCGCGCCGTCCGCCCGTTATTGCGGAACTCTTCCACGAGAAAAGCCACCGGTGAGGGAATTGGCGTCCTGTATGAGAAGAATATGCACATGCCCACCTACGTGTATTGATGAAAATGGCGAAATTCTTGGAAATACTTACTCGATCTCTGTACACTATCGGAATCTTTCTATGATAAGAACTACTCGTTAAGAATGAACCCCTACTCGCTAAGTAGGGAAGCTTCTAGAAAAGCGCAATGAATATCCGACACTGTAGCCTCATCCCAATCCGCTCTGATTCCGCTGCCGCCACCCCGGCTTTCGTCGATGAAATGGCCGCCCCTCACGACCGTGAGGTTTATCGCTGCGGTCGATGGGCAGCTGGCAAGGTGATTGCAACTGTTGAGTGTACGGCAGTCCGCAGTCGGTTGCAGGTCATGTTGCCAAGTAGGGTGTGTACTGGAGTTTTGGTGGAGGCCTTTCGAAGCGAGAGCTTCATGGCGATCGTGGAAAGCCTTCTTAAGCACACTTCGAGGTGAATCTACCAGTCAATCGGGCTAGGAGCGACTGGAGACCCCTTTGTGCCCTTTATCGGGATTAACGTAGATCCTCAGTACTATTACTTTTCCCATTAGTCGATAAGTGTGCATGTTCATTGCGACATCGTAGCACGGTATAAGTGCGCAACCGCGGCCTTTGTAATGGTGCATGAGCACTGATAAGGCTTTGTCTAAGCATAACAGAACAGCAGAAAAAGATGATATTATCAGTGGAGTTACTTTTACCATTAGTCGATAAGTGTACATGCTCATTGCGACATCGTAGCACGGTATAAGTGCGCAACCGCGGCCTTTGTAATAGTACATGAGCACTGATAAGGCTTTGTCGAAGCGTAATACAAGAAAATAATATCAGTGGAATTACTTTTACCATAAGTCGACAAGTGTGCATGTTTATTCCAACATCGTTTTACGAACGTTTTTTGTGCTTTTACCAGCATCGAAGCCGTTGATGCCTCGTGGATTGGTAAACCTTATGGCCAACTCAAGAAGCATCTCCTCAGTAGAAGAATTCCGCGCTAGTCTATCGTTCGATCATCTCGAACTTAGGAACACATGGGTCACTGCCGGTCGCGATAGTTCGCACTGTTGAGTATGTGCTCACGCCGGAAGCCCGAGGAGATGACGATGATGACGAGGGGTAGGAAGCCTTCTAACTGCGGTACTTTATTGGTATCAGTCCTGATGGAATTGCCGGTGTCACCATGTGTCACCCAATGCTTCTCACCAATCCCCCACATGAGTTGCTCCTCATCAAAGGTCGGGAGCATTTCGACTGTTTTGGAGTATTCGGGCAGGTGACTCGATTATAGTACTGCAAGAAAATCGCCATCATTTTCCGAGTGTAACACAAGACACGCAAGAGGGAGAACGGAGAAACTCTATGAGTGAGCGAACAACGAGTCGAATCATCGGGATGAACAGTGTGGGAAAAATATGCACATGGCCAGCTACATGTGTTGGTGACAATATTAAAATTTTGGGAGGTTCTTGTTGGTTTCTCTATACTTCTACCCGAATTCGTATGTGAACTTCTATAATAATCAACGAAGCGAGCATATACTCCATCACAGTTGGGATGAATTTTTTCTAAGAACGATATCAGTCGATGCGAAGCGTGAGGCTATCGCAGTTGATGCCCGGGACGTCACCGCCTGAGACTGAGCCAGAGGACGAGTGAGGGCCTGCGAGGGTAACAAAGTGAAGTCCGTTTTCTATAGGGAAATGGAGGAAGACACTATGGCTGCAAGTCGTGTGGTTTCCGTCGGAG